AACATTGCTCTTTCTTGCCTGCTAAGCATCTTTAACATCCCAGAGTTTAACTTGGGTTTTCTACATAATACCAAAGCTATATAGAAACAGGCAATTTAATATAATTAGACCAACTTTTTTGGAATGCTAGCCTAAACTCACTTGACTCGGTAGCTCCAGAGGAAACTGTCAACAACAGGGGCCTGATTTTCTACTTTTGTGGCACTGACTTTACACTCGTGTATCTCCACTGGGGCCAATGGAGTTATATCACTTTAAAGTGAATGAAACAGAATAGAAAATAAGGTTCCAAAGTTTTACAAATATCTTCAGATGCAGCATTATCTCTTTGCCAGAACTCATAGCAGCCCATGTCCAGCCTGAAAACACCCCAAAGAATCAGATTAAAGACTGAACTAAGTCCTAGGTCACACAAAAATATGACGTTCTGTAGGTGTCTCTCTAGGTGTTTTAACCAAGTTTGTTGCTAGAAAGATACGAATGCCATTTCCATGACCAATTTAAACAAGGCATAAACGTATTAGAAAATAATTTAGAAGGACCATACTATAGCTTATGCTATCATATAGCATGGTTCTGTAAATCATTTTACATTTGTCTATGCCTGCAATTAGTCAAGTATTTCTTGCTGCAAAGAATTTATATATATTTAATGGATGATAAAGATTGGATTCACTGGGTGCTTTTGTCCAGGGAACAGATATAATGCCTTTCTGGTTGTTTTGGTCAGTTTTGCTTTCTAAGATTCTTGAGAAGCTCAAGGAGCTCTGACTTGTGAGCTGGACTCATGCCTCTAATGGCTTATTAAAGTCAAACAGTGTGGGATGGCTGGTATTAGGGCCATTGTTGGCTGAGATAACATTTGGGCAGCCTGCCATCTCCCTTCAAATGAGTTGCCATTAGGACCATGCTCAAGAACATGTCTTCATGTTGGAGATCTCACCAGTTATTGTCCCCTTATTGTTTTAGTTAAGGTTACTGAGAAGGAGTTGTGGTGCTGCAAGTTTGGCTTCTTTTGAGGTTCTCGTGGTTTCTTGATCCCTAACAGTCTGCCAGGTAGCTTGGGTACGATAAAAAGACTTGCTATTGGGCTTTGTTTTTATTAAAAAAACAAACAAAACAAAACAAAAAAATCTTCTAGTGATGGATAGTCGATGGGTATCCATGATGGGTTTTTTAAGGATCTATCAGTAGCTTTTCATATAGTTGAACATAAAGTTTTGGGGTTTTTCTTTACCCATCTATGGGCCCCTTACTGGATTATGTATTACCAGGCAAGAGAGTGCAGTGTTGATGTTCAGGGATTTGGTATGTACGCCTCTGTTCTCACTTTACTGATAAATCACTGGGGAGGTGGAGGGGGCGCAGTGTTGGACAATTACTCATTAGCCTTGATGGCTCCCTTGTACCAGGGTTCCAGTCTGTCACCCACTGGAGGGTGATAATGAGATGGTTTGGGCTGCAGTGCCATCACTCCATGGATGATGCATATCTTGGCATTTTTAAATTAAATTTTATTAAAATTAAAATAGAAGAAGTATCTGGTATAGATGCAATGTGTAAAATGAGGCATTGAGACCTATATGAGGAATTTCAATAACCGATAACCTGAAGGCTTATAAGAGCCATACTAGACTCATTACATTATGGGAACAACAGGACTCCACGATTATGTAGAAAACCTTGTTACAGAAGCATGACTAAACCATGCTCCTTAAGATACTTAGCTCTACATTGATTTCATTGAACCCAGATGTTGTGGTGTGTCTGCTTTCCCAATGCTTGGCTGAGCTAGGGACTTGGATGAGAGCAAGCTGGCTGAAACTCAGTCTGGAGAAGACAGAGATATTGGTGATGGGTTGTGGGAAGCACTGTGTTCAATGGTGTCTACCCTCATTATTCAGAGGGCTTGCCTGTCCTTTGTTCAAAAGGTTCACAATGCAGAGGGTTCTCTGGATCCCTTCTTCTCAAATAGCATCAGTGGATAATCATGTTTTTTCTAGACTTCAGTGACTGGCACCAGGAAGAGCTCAGATAGACCCTGTTGTAGAGGACTTGCAAATCCCTTTTTGGGATTATCATTTTGGTCCCACATACAAAATACCTTTGGGACAAAGTTGACAAGAATCCAGTTAGAAAATTTTGTAAAAGAAACGCACAATAAGATAGCTGTGGACTGAAACAGTGTGTCTTTCTGTAGGCCCCATTTCTTAATTGAAAGCTATAATTTATTTAAATAGGGAGAGAAAACGCTCAGTATTGTAATGGAATCTAGGAGACGGCTGCAGAATTATCTCTAATGACAGAGTAGTCTTTAAAGAAACTTTAATTAAATATAAAAGTCTACTTTTAAAGAGTCTATTGCAAGTAGTTTCGGATGAAATAATTGTGGCACTGTCAACTTTTTGTACGTTTATTTCTTATAACAGAGAAAATTTCTAAGTAGAGATGGTAACTTTTAATTTGGTGCTATCATGTCTGATAGTCATGTGGGTGGGGTAATAGTTACATATATTAATTTTATATATAGTAACTATTAGTTTAGTTGTGAAGCAAAACTGTGGAATTAAAACTAAAAGGCACATGGAATAGCGGGACAGTTATACAGACAACTTGGACTTTGATTCTTTGCCTCTGCTCAACTTCATAGGGATCCATGTATGTCACAAGTATTATAGTAAGAACAATTGAGAAAATTTTCACATCATTGCCTAGAAATGAATATGAAATACGTTTTACACATATGCCTGAGTGTGATTAGGTGTTTGGGGTACTCTGGCACCTGTGGTCATTTTGTGTCAACTGGATAGGGTTCAAGTGCATATGGGGAGGAAGGATGGATTTGTGATTAAAGTATGGAGTTGGAAGGTATGAGATGTAGGTTGTGTTCCCAGCTCTGTGGCAAACTTCTTATGTGATCTTGGGAGCAAGTCACTTAATCTCTCTGTACCTCAATTTCTCTTTATATACACTAGGGGGAGAATAATAGTAGTACCTTAAAAACAACAAGGAGTCTGGTGGCACCTTAAAGACTAACAGATTTATTTGGGCATAAACTTTCGTGGGTAAAAAACCTCACCTCTTCCGCCCAAATAAATCTGTTAGTCTTTAAGGTGCCACCGGACTCCATGTTGTTTTTGTGGATACAGACTAACACGGCTACCCCCGATACAGTAGTACCTTAATCACCTGGGTATTAGGCTTAATTCATTAATGTTTGTAAAACACTTTAAGGAAGCTGGATAGAAGTTACTGGAAGAGGCTGATTCAGCACATCCCACCAGCAGGATTTCTCTGGATCCCAAGGCTAAATTCCTCCTGGAGCAGTGTCCATGGCTGGTGCTGTGCAGTGTAATTGGCAGCTCCCAGTACCAGTGGAGGTAAATTTGACCCCCATTTTCTACTGTCACAGATAATTAATATAATTATGTATCTGTCCAACCACTTGAATTTTTACTTGTTAATACTACAATAAAAACACACTCAGCCTATTTACAGGAAATCTTCCATAAATTACTTTTTCCACTGTGAATGGCTAGGTCCATAAAGGGATCTCTTAGAAAACAGTATCTATGACCTCATATTAACTTGTATTTAAGAATAATTTTATCCAAGTACTTTTACTGCACCCATCATAGTAATATTGAGGGATCATGGGTCCAATCCTGCTCCCACTGAAGTAAATGAGAGTTTTGCCATTAACTTCAATGGGAACAAGTCCCATATGCACAAATGAAAAATGGTACAAATTCCGTCTGAAAGGACCCATAGTCTCCATTGTTTACATAGGTCTCTTAATTGACCCAACTTCTAATAACAACTACATGCATTACTCATAATAACATCAATTGTTTAACACTGCACTGTATTATTAGTGTCAACTACTGTCCTTAACTGTATACACAGAATACATACTTGTGTAATCTGTATAACTATACTGTGCCAAACATCAGTCTGTGTACTTACAAGTGTATGCTTTCTACCAACGTCAATAAACAGGTGTCTGCAGGAGTCATTAAAAAGAAATTGTTCACTAATATATTTTTGCTAGGTATTCGGAAAGACTGAAATGTACCATAACCAGCACTTGGCACTGTGGTAGGTCTTTGATAATGAATATTTTAAAATTACAGTTTGCATTTTAAAAATTATTACTAGTGACCTCAGTTGTACACACCTTTGCCATCTCTCTGGCCTGGATAAAAGCCATGCATTATACCCGGATGCAAAGCCCTTAGAAAATTCCAGCTGGTACAGCAATACTGGCTACTGCGAGCACATCAAACCTGTCCTCTGCTCTCTACACTGGTTTCCCTTAGACTATTGAGTCAAAATTCAAGATCATTCATTATTTTCAAGGAGCTCAGTGTCTTAAGCTCAGGATAGCAACTCAACTAAAATTCTGGGCTGAGGCTTGTGGTTGAAAACTGTGCCCCTCTGGCACCATGGAACTACCACCAGGGTAGAAACATGAATAACCCTCTGGAAATCAATGTAACTTCTCCCACGAGTAAAATAAACAAGGCTTGGGCTGCAGTACAAAGTATTGATTGAGGGCATTCAGTACCTGCTTAGCACCTTGCAAAATCAACCTTCCTTATACTTAAAAAAAAAAATTCATCCTGCCTCAATGGGTCGGGCTGAGATTCTGTGAGGCGCTTCTAGGAGGTGCAGCAAAGCCCATGGAAAATGGAGGGGGCGGTGGCTTTAAACCCATCCAATTCTGGGCTGTCCCGGGGGCTGCTGCAGCCCCTGGCGGGAAGTTAAACGAAACGCTGCAGCCGCAGGTGTTTGGGTAGCGCCGTTTGGTAAGGAGACATTTGTACAGAAGCTTTGGCGTGGCTTTGATCGCTGCCAGGTGCATTGAAGAAGCAACGTGCTAGGGAGGAGCCCTTTTGCCCAGCAGGGGCTGTTACGGATCATGGCGCGCCGACACCGTGCTTGGCCCCGGGTGCCCAGTGCTACCCCCGCAGGCTGCAGGCGGGAGAGTGCCTCTCTCACTCCCCGAGCAAGGCCGAGCGCAGGGGCTCGCTGGAGCTCGGGGTTTGGGCTAGACGCCCCTCCGCTCCCTTCGCGTCCCCGGCCGGCCCGACTGCGCCCCTGCAGGCTGCCGGCGGCGCTGCCTCGCCGCCTGCACCGCCGGGAGGGAGCGCGAGGGGCTCGCGGCTGCCGGAGACCTGCTGCCGCGGCCGGGCGGCTCCCACAGCAGCCGGGATTAGCAACAGCCGGAGGCCCCCGCAGTTCAGCTTTCAGCGCGGCGGGGCGGAGGGCGGCGCTGCGAGTGCCTGAGAGAGGAGCGGCGAGCAGCTGTGCTGCCCGGCATCCCTCCTCACGCCGCCGCTCGAGCAGCAGCCCCGAGACTTTTGTGCTCCCTCCAAACATGGATTTATTCTTCCTGAGGTTACTCGCGGTGGCCTGGCTTCACCTGGAGGCTGCGGCGGAGTTTGACGGAAGGTAAGGCGCGCCTTCGGGGAGAGACCCCCCTCGCCAGCACTACTCTGGCCGGTGCTCCCAGGGGTCTCCCAGGGGAGGCAGGTCTGTGGGGAGGTTTCCCTGGAGGTTTTGGTTATAACAAAATGTAACGAAAAGCACCTGCACCCCCTGCTCTCAGGCTCGTGGGGGGAGAGAGAAAGGTACAGGGCTGACGCCTTGCAGGCACTTGAACTGCGGGGATCTGAGTTGTGCAGTGGAGTTGATAGACACACCTGTGAAACCCAAGAGACTAGCCATTCAGCTCTCCGAGACTCTGGCAGAGCCAGTCCTGAATAGTTTGCATCTAAACATAGTCATAAGTTTTCAGTGGAGAGATCCAAACCTATTTTTCCCCTCGTGGTGGGAAGCTAAGAAAAAGAACTAAGGCAAACTCAACCGTGGTTGTCAGGTCATAAACAAGTTAGTCTCATTGTTTGTACCTTCAGTTTAGCAAATGATTGAACAGCTGCAATTCATTGTCCTCTTTTGAAAGTTTGACTTACCTAATGGCATGATTTTATTTTTTCTAAAGATAAATCTATGATAGACAAAAGTGAAGAACTGAATAAACTCTTTTTACATGTGTGGTGGAGGGATGAGATTTACATCTTGTTTTTCTTTCCACCACTAAAAAATTGTGTGTCCACCCCAGATTTAACCTTCACGAGTCTCTCCCGCCCTTTCACACTCATATATTAGTGTTAAAATAATTCTGAAAAGCTATACATATAATATTAGTGTCTTATATGAACATATCTCAGATGTAAAGAGATATGCATGCTATGACAGGTTTGAACAACTCCAGAGTTCTTATAACTTTATTATGCAGCTGATACTCCTACAGGCTACATCAGTACAGCTGAAAATTCCAACCTGTGTATTATCTATGTATAATTTATCACAACAAGTCCTGGATGATTTGATCCTTTAGAGGGTCATTAAAAATGTATGTAGACGGTCTGACTGATGCAAAGCATTCTCACTTTTGGAGAGTGGAGTTCAAACTAGGGTCAAAAACAAGTGAAGCCTTGAGGTTTTAGCCTCCAGTGGAACCCTCTCTACATTCTCTCTTCTCCACTCTTCTTCCCCACTCCCCAAGACCAAAAAAAAAAAAAAGCACACCTGGCTGTCATAAAGCTTACTGTGGTCTTGAAATGAAGACTGAATTGGTTTCTTGCTTCTCAAGACTTTGTTGACAGAGGTGAACTAGCTGAGGCTAGTGAGAAGTAACACACCCTCTTGCACATCACCTGGCATAAAGCAGTTTAAAAAGGTCTGAGGCTTGGTAGGCTGTCTTTCATGGCATCTAAATTATACACATTTTATTTATTTATACAAAGCGTGTGTGTGTGTACGTATACACACACACACACTTTGTATGTATATGTGCCTATAAATTAAGTGGTGTTCTTGTATATAATTTTTGTTACATCATCAAGTGCTTATGGACATATACTGCAAGATTTTTTTTTAAATGCTTCCTATAACATACAAACCAAAAGTAGTGCCAAGAGGCATTTAAACAATGTACTGTATTGAAAAAAAATTGCAACTCAAGTTTAAACATGAATCTAGATAAATGAAATGTGAAAATGAGTGTTGAGGTGAAGGAATGTGTGTAATCAGTATTGTTAAACTGTGTCAAATGTAGTGAAATATTTAAACACAAATCAGGGAGTAGTTCATGTATAATGAAAGACTGAATAGGTTTTCAAATGAAAACACTAACTATGTTTTACTGTACATGGAAATCAATTAACATGTACATACCAAATATTTATTTTTATAATTTGTTCAAATACTGTTTTTCTTTTTTTTTACATTGTTATTAAAATGTATTAATTTTATGACATTGCTTTCTGAATGTTTAAGACTCCAAATGTAACCTAATTCATTTCATAGGGACGAGGCAAAAAAAAATTAAACTTCCCTTTTCCCATTATTGCCTGTTTGCAAGACAGAAACTTGTCTTAATTTCTGATATCTAGGACAGGTTTCAAACTTGGCCATTAGTTCAGATTTGTGAAATCAAAGTTGAAACACTGTTGATAACAGTTTATTACTTATAAATTTTGTAAAATTCAGATATCTGATATTGCTTATGACCATCCTGTGAGTGGCAGCAGTGAGCATGCTACATAGTATATTAGACGCTGCTATTTCTGGTTTTAAAATGTCTCGTCTGTTAACACCACCCTCCCTCCTCTCCCCCCCCCTCCCCACTGTCCGAGTTCTACACTTGGACAGAAAATCTTTTCACCCTACGCGCTAATATTAAAGCAGCTATGTTAACCAGAAAGATACTTACTTTAAAAAGTAACATGGATTTTCTTTAGAAAAGATTTATGAATTGTAGATAAGGGTGGTTTTTTTTTTTCCTTGTTTGTTTTTTTTAAACTATCTTGTGCAGGTGGCCCAGACAAATAGTCTCCTCTATGGGATTGTGTCGGTTTGGAAGTAGAATTGATTGCTGCTGGGGCTGGGCCCGTCAGTCATGGGGGCAATGCCAACGTGAGTATCATCACTGCTGGGGCTTTTAGCCACTTAGAAGGGGCTTGTACACACCTATTAATAGCTTTCACATATTCACATACACACACAATTGCAGGGTTTCTGACATAAATGGGGCATATTTAAAGGGACACGGTCAGGTTAAAAAAACATATATTTTAAGAACCAATTTGTGTTATTAATAGCAGCATAGATAATTAAAGCTGAAAGAAATATTGAACCTAATTTACTCTTTTGCTGTTAATACTGTTGGTTGGTGTATTTTTGCATTAAATTTTGTTTAGGCAATGAAAATGGACTAGTCAGTTTCTCTTTTGTTTCTCATCAATTTTACTTTCTGGCTCTCATGCCCTAACAAAGGGCTGCAGTGTTTTGGTTTGCAAAAACTGCAGGGAGGAAATATTTACATCCCAGGGAAAACAAACAACCTATTGCTGGAATTTGAACAAAAACATCTTGGAAATGTTCCTTATTGGTGTTAGGTTAAAGCCTTCTTTTATAACCCAATCTCTGGGTTTAAATCAACCTGACAGTGTCCTTTTAATAGATCACATATTAATAGAGACATATCTGAATTTTTTGCATTGTTATAATCCTTGTTATAACTATTGATAATCATATAAATAAGACTTCATTAAATCAATTTTGAAAATAGCATTACACTGGTAACCAGAGCAATACAAAAGTGCTGATTTTTTCCAGGGTGGGAGAAGGAGATCTCAGTTACATTTATAGGTTTTTGTCCTGAAAACACTTAATATATACTTAACTCGTGAGTAGTTTCCCGTAGGTATTTGCAGGATCAGACTTTTGGAAACTTTTGCATTTTGATCCAGCTTGCAAAATTAGATGAATTTCTGCTAAACAATATACAAGCAGAGCTAAGAGGTGAACATTGATTATTGCTCATTTTGCAGTGCTGTGAAAGTAAAGCAGCAGGTGAAAGAAAGTGGCAGTGGAGATCCCAATCTAGTCTCTAAGCAAAGGTTTTGGTCAAATCTGTAAATAACAATAATAGTTACCCCTTATAAAGGGAGAAGGTTAATGCAATCCAGCATTTAATGGATAATAAAAAGGTGACTAATTAAAAATAGATGTAAAGTGCTGTTGGAATATAACAAGCATGGAATTCTATTTAGCACCTATGGGCTCACATCATCAATCCTTTGGATTTTAGAACTGCAGTTTGTAAGAGAAATAGTCATTTCCCTGATATAAACATTTGTAAAGGGAAGGATTGCACCCAGAGGTAATAGAATCTATGGCCATCTTTTATAACACAAATATACAAATTAAAATTAAACAGAGAGCATGTGTGTCATACTACAAATACTCTAAGCAGCAAGGTATAAGTGAATTTTACTATATTTAAATAGTATTTAGTTCTCCTGATTTCCCCTTCACCAGCTAAGTTCTCACTTTTGTTGTGATAATGAGCTCAGCTCATCACGGTGGCAACATTCAGATTGAAACCAATCTGTATTTCATATTTGACCTTCAATTCCCCACCACTGCCAATTCTGCTTTGATGTACATCCTGTATTATAGTTTCAGGAAGTGAATGGCTCATGGTGATAATGGTACAAAATACATAACTAAGTAAGGAAAGTGAATTTTTATTGCCCCATAGCAAAAAGTGATGAGCTTAATTCTTTCAGCTTTGTGTATAGTTGGCATGAAACTGTCCCTACAGTTCTAGGAGTAAAATGTGATACTGTCTTGAAAGTTACAGTGTTGCTGTCATAAAGCAATTAGCAGCTATGAAATGGGAGGGTGAAAGAGTCCCTCATTCTGTCTCTTGGCAGCATGGAAGACATCACATAAACTTTAAAGATTTCTCCCCCTTTTCCTTGTGGTCTGTATTCTCTTTAAGTGTGTATGGTCCATGTTTTGGAATTATGGTAGTGTTCTGAATATGTTTCAAAGACACAATTAACAATTTCTAAAAGAAAATAGAAGACTATTCCATCTCTAAATCATATTTTCATAATATTTCTTATTTAGTCACAGCAGCTGTTTTTAGTTAACCCATAAATTGTCCATGAAAATCTGACATTATATATCTTTCAAAATCATACTGCTTAGATTTGATTCAGGCACAGAGTTAAGTCTGAAATTATTTTAGGGCAGGGGTAGGCAACTTATGGCACGTGTGCAGAAGGCGGCACGCGAGCTGATTTTCAGTGGCACTCACTGCCTGGGTCCTGGCCACCGGTCTGGGGGGCTCTGCATTTTAATTTAATTTTAAATGAAGTTTTGTAACCTGGTCCTCGCTGGCCTAGGCCCCAAAAACGCCCAGAGACCAACGGAGGTGCAGCACCCGTGTCCTTTTATTGTTTGTGTCCGTTCCCACCACCTACTATTTACAAGTATTTACAGAGACCAACACTCTTGGAGACTACTAGCTTCCCAGCCAGCAGGGATCTAGAGCCCACGCTCCTCCCTTTCCTGTCTTCCCCCCGCTTCCTGTCTCTTAGCCAGCTTTATAGGGCAGGCTGGCTCCCCAGGCCTGCAGGTGGATCCCCTCTGGTAATCAGGGTGTGGCCCCTCAGCCAGCCCAACTAACCCTTTTTCCTCTGGAACAGGGCTAACAGGGGCCTGGCTTGTTTCTCCTAGCCAGCACCCTGTTACAAGCTTCTTAAACATTTTAAAAACCTTATTTACTTTACATACAACAATAGTTTGGTTAAATATTATAGACTTATAGAAAGAGACCATCTAAAAATGTTAAAATGTATTACTGGCACGTGAATTAGAGTGAATAAATGAAGACTTGGCACACCACTTCAATGCACATTGGAAAAAATAACCCCAACTATACATACAATATGATGGGGGCTAATTTAGCTACAACAAGTCAGGAAAAAGATCTTGGAGTCATCGTGGATAGTTCTCTGAAAATGTCCACGCAGTGTGCAGAGGCGGTCAAAAAAGCAAACAGGATGTTTGGAATCATTAAAAAGGGGATAGAGAATAAAACTGAGAATATATTATTGCCCTTATATAAATCGATGGTACGCCCTCATCTCGAATACTGCGTACAGATGTGGTCTCCTCATCTCAAAAAAGATATACTGGCACTAGACAAGGTTCAGAAAAGGGCAACTAAAATGATTAGGGGTTTGGAACGGGTCCCATAAAGAGGCTAGGACTCTTCAGCTTGGAAAAGAGGAGACTAAGGGGGGATATGATAGAGGTATATAAAATCATGAGTGATGTGAAGAAAGTGGATAAGGAAAAGTTATTTACTTATTCCCATAATACAAGAACTAGGGGTCATCAAATGAAATTAATAGGCAGCAGGTTTAAAACAAATAAAAGGAAGTTCTTCTTCACGCAGTGCACAGTCAACTTGTGGAACTCCTTA